ACCGACCATCATTCTGTAAAACCCATTTCTCAACCATTAATAATAGCCAAAAGCAAAATCAAAATGCAAGTTCAGGCTGTTCAGCAAAGTAAAAAAAAAACTCATTTAAAAAGTAATAAGAAAGATAATTTCCATTACTCAAATATTTTTGTACCCCTTAGGTCAACATTTATGTGCTTCCCAACGGGATCTGAGGATATTTTTCCTTCTGCTTAGAAAGCTTGTGCAGAGGCTTTTAAATCCCGCTTCACTAGATAATCATGGATATACACATCCAGCCTGTTAATCACAAACATATATTATCAGTCACATGAGTAAAAGGAGAAAAACCGAAACTTCAAGATAAAAACTGTGAATTGGATTTGTTGGTATTTTGTTTAATGATTTGTAACTTGTTATGCGATTGTTTGACCGGATATCTGAGATATTTTTTATGTGGGTTACTAGATGCAGTTAGATCATTTGGAGGCTCCCCTGTACCTAGTCGTGTGACTTCTCAACTAATCTTTCTTCATTTGCTATGTGAGTGTTATTCTTTTGTTCTATTGTTAAAATCTGCTCTAAGTTTTGTATTCGGGTTTTATACGGCTTTGCTTATGTGGATTTCAAATTGATGTTGCTTGTGGATCAGTTTGTGGATCAATTTCAATATGTATGTGAATGACAAACTTTGTCTTGAATTTGGGTTTTGTTTGTTTGGGGATGACGATCCAATCTGAGCTGTAAGATATATAATTTTGAGTTCAATGAATAAGATATATAATTAACTGATACATGAAAGAGATCATATGGGATAGTTAAATTGTTTGAGATCATGTTTTATATAGCTAGTGTAACGAATACAAATTACATGGTGCTCAAAACTTTGTCTACCAATTGCTCTTAGAACATATTTGTAAGTAATTATATGTTGTCTGAAATATGTTTGATTTGATTATATGTTGTTTGATAGTGTACACGAGTTGTTGTTTGAAAAAGAATCTGCCATTGCCAATGACATTTGGATTTTTGTTTTTGCTGCTTGTTGTTGCCAATATCAGGAGTTGTTGCTTGTTGCTGCCAATATCAAGAGCTACTTGCTTCTTGTTTGATTTTTGTTTTTGCTGCTTGTTGACTTGGTGCCACTGACCAAAGACATTTGCATTAAAAAGGATATGTGTTGTATGCAACTTTATATAAACAGTTTTAGAAGATGTTACATGTATTTGAATGCATGATGATTTAGTGTTCAAATAATTTAATATTCAAAACCGTAAACCGGCAAGAACCGAATCAGAACCGGTGTAGACCGAACCGTACAATTCTAGTGATAAATTTAATCAAAACCGCACCGCACCGAACCGTTAATATTTTAAGATTCCGGTTCTGGTTTGGGGGTGGAACCGCACCGAACCGCATCGTGCCCACCCCTACTTTTGTTTGTTTTCCAGTCAAACATGAATAGTAACTCAACAAGCTTTAAGCATCCTAACATTAATTACGACCACATTTCACTTGGCTAAATTGCATGATGTAAAACAATATGAGAGAAACAAAAACAAACAAATGAATCTATTCTTACCGGGGTGTGAGCCTTTCTCTCTTCTTGAGAGCTTTCTCACCGGGTTGTGAGTGTACATCCTTCTCCGTCGTCGACGTCACAGCTGCCGATCCTAGCTCTGGCTAGGGTTGGTGGTAGACTCTTGCTTATCTTCTTCCTTTTTTCCTTTTCTTTCCATCTCTTTCTGTTTGCGTTTTCCGCTACCCTTTTGCTGGTTCAACCCTCTTTACCATATTTGATTTTACTACCCAGTGGGCCCCTCTTCGATTTACCCTTCCCTCCAACTCCATGATTCCCCACCCTCTGTTCCCAATCCTTTCCATTTGCCTCTATCCTTCATTGATCCTTCCATCTGTGTCTGCATCAACTCCTCAACACTACAATTTTTCGCAATTTCCTGGGAAGGTACGTAGAGCTTCGAGTTTCCTCATCGCTTGGGTGTTCCCATTACCTTCTTCCCGTTGTGTGCCTTGTTGGCACTGTTGCTCGTGGGTTGGTTCCTACGAGCTTCTGTCGGTTTCTGTTGCAGATCTGCGTGGTGCTCTTTGAAAGATGTTGGCATCTTCTATTTCTCCACTTCGGGGTCTCTATTTGGCATTGTTTCTGGCGATGGGTTTAAGCTTTGCGGTTGGGGTCCTTCCAATGGCATCAACGGCGACTGCATGCTTTTAGGGTTTTTTTGGTTGCTTGTTTGTTTTTTGCTCTTAGCTTTCTGTTGGGCTTTTTTTACTATACTGTGGAGGTCTATATCTCTTTTATGTGCATATTGTATTTGGACTCTTTCTTGTAAATTTGTTTGTTGGTAATAATAAAAGAAGCCCAATGACCGAACAAAAACAAACAAATGATTTCAACCCTCTAGTTTTGTCTTATGCACTTATTCTCTTATTTTTATAATAAAACTAATGAAAATGACTTGAAAATAAGAATAAAATAAAGGGTAAAGTGAATAGTACCATGATTGGCTTTTTAATGTAAAAATATGGTTTTTCGTTAAAGTAAATAGTACCAGGAATTTTTTGTAACATCCCACATTACCCAAGGGAGTGGATCCTCTATGCCTTATATGTATATTCTCATCTCTACCTAGCACGAGACCTTTTGGAAACTCACTGGCTTCAGGTTCCATTGGAACTCTGAAGTTAAGCGAGTTCGCGCGATAGCAATCTCATGATGGGTGACCCACTGGGAAGTTCTCGTATGAGTTTTCAGAAACAAAACCGTGAAAGCATGGTCGGGGCCCAAAGTGGACAATATTGTGATACGGTAGAGTCGAGCCTAAGATATGGTGAGGGCTCGGGCCGGGATGTGATAATTTGGTATCAAAGCTAATCTCAGGCCGAAAGTGTGCCTCATCAGGCCCCTAAGGGGAGATGGATTGTAACATCTCACATCGCCCAAGGGAGTGGATCCTCTATGCCTTATATGTATATTCTTATCTCTACCTAGCATGAGGCATTTTGGGAGCTCATTGGCTTCGGGTTTCATCAGAACTTCGAAGTTAAGCAAGTTCACGCGAGAGAAATCCAATGATGGGTGACTTACTGGGAAGTTCTCGTGTGAGTTCCCAAAAACAAAACCGTGAAGGCATAGTCAAGGCCCAAAGCGAACAATATCATGCTATGGTGAAATCGAGCCTGGGATATGGTAGGGGCCTGAGCCGGGATGTGACACTTTTCGTTAAAGTTCCCTATTTTTATTTGTTAATTGTAATTTTATTATTACAATCCACTGGGAAGTTCTCGTATGAGTTTTCAGAAACAAAACCGTGAAAGCATGGTCGGGGCCCAAAGTGGACAATATTGTGATACGGTAGAGTCGAGCCCAAGATATGGTGAGGGCTCGGGCCGGGATGTGATAATTTGGTATCAAAGCTAATCTCAGGCCGAGAGTGTGCCTCGTCGGGCCCCTAAGGGGAGATGGATTGTAACATCTCACATCGCCCAAGGGAGTGGATCCTCTATGCCTTATATGTATATTCTTATCTCTACCTAGCACGAGGCCTTTTGGGAGCTCATTGGCTTCGGGTTTCATCAGAACTTCGAAGTTAAGCAAGTTCGCGCGAGAGAAATCCAATGATGGGTGACCTACTGGGAAGTTCTCGTGTGAGTTCCCAAAAACAAAACCGTGAAGGCATAGTCAAGGCCCAAAGCGAACAATATCATGCTATGGTGAAATCGAGCCTGGGATATGGTAGGGGCCTGAGCCGGGATGTGACACTTTTCGTTAAAGTTCCCTATTTTTATTTGTTAATTGTAATTTTATTATTACAATCCAATAATTAGAAGGATTCTAAATGACAAAACAAGTGTGCAAATTATTTCTTAAAAAGTAATATGGGAGAGTATGTATTGTTTAGTGACTCTCCATGCGTCCCGGCTTTGAAACTTTCTTCTCCTAAATTATATATAATGGTTTGGTGACCACTTCATATCACTATGTTGGTTTATTGCTAGTTTAATTTGCATCAAAAGGATTCAACCATTATATATAAAGAATAAACTGTCGACCCCCCTGAACTTTCACCTAACTTTCGATCTATCCCTAAACTTTTAAATTGAAAAATCAAGGACTTAAACTAATTTTTTGTCCAATTTTCCCATGCTATTAGTTTTTTCATTCATTCCATCCAAATTTCTGTTCAATGAAAACATGTGCACAACGTGGTAGTTCGGTCACTTAGTTCTTTCAAATAAATGAAAACCCTAGATTATAAAATGTTAACCTATGGAAATATGTTATTATATAGCTTTTGTGTCTAAAGATCTAATGAAGTGACGTTTTTGTTCTCAAATGAGAGTCATGTGATAATATATAACGTTAATTTAATGGAATCAATGAAAAACTAGTGGTAGGGGAAAATCGCCTAAAAAAATTAGTTTAAGTCCTTGATATTTCAATGTCAAAGTTTATGGAATAAATCGAAAGTTAAATGAAAATTCAAGAGGAAAATCTATTGTTTACTCTATATATAAATATGTAGGGGTGTGATATCCACACACCCCTTTTTACTTCTCACACACTCTTCTAAGTTTCGGTCGTTGGATCGGATGAATTGAAGAAGATCAAAGGGTAGAAATTAAAAAGGGGTGTTTGAAAAGTAAAAATGGGTGTGTGGATAACACACCCCAAATATGTAATATCCCAAGAATTAATTATCGAATAAGAGAAATATTTGGAAAAAAATGTTGTGCTTATTTATTCAAAAGGTTTTCATATGAAGGTAGTGAACATCATTGCGAGTTCGTATAATCTTTCAGATGATTTTTCGGAGCTTAGGTTTTAATTGAATTTACAAGCTGGACCAATGGCGAATCACCACATGACAGAAAAAGGTGTGGCTGGGAAGCCACGTGACAGCTCCTGAAGGTGGCAGCAAAAGGATATGATCCGGGTTCTTAAATAAGTGCCAAGTCTACCACTTGGCAGGTTTTAGTTGGACCTTAAGAAGAAGATAAAATTACGTTGAAACGTGGCAAGTGGACATTGGACCACAAATGAAGAAAACGGTGCAGGTGCACCTGTATATTGGATCGAAAGCCGCAAAGAGGAAGCAATGAGCTTCATCTCTTTGTCTCAACCAAACACCATCTTTCTCTTAACTTTTGATTTGGAAGTCCGAATTTGATTCCGCTTTGGTGGGGAAGAGTACTACAAATCTCAGGTAATAATTTATGGATTTACTGCAGATTTTGAAAGCTGCCATTTTTGGGATTTATTCCTACACAAGCTTTAATCTTCAAATTTAAATGTTGTTTATGGTGGATTAAGCTTATTGGAAGCTTAATTGAACGAATTGAGGTTAATTTCTATATGGGCTAGCTGCTGCAAACCCTAGAATTATTTCATGGTTTTTAAACCTTGATATTTTGTGGCTGTTACGAAATTAAGGGAACTTGGTGAACTTGAATGGTGATTTGGTACTTAGAGATCATGATAAATGGGTTTGGACAGGTTTGGATTGAAAGACAGGAGGAACCAATCTGGAAAATAGCCATGAATATCACTATTCACGCTGCAGGGATCAAACTGAAATATAAGCTTCAGATTTGGGGCCATTTTACAGTTCTCTGAAAGTTAGGGGTAGTTTTGTTATTACCCGAAGGCTTGGGACAAAACTGTGATTTTATAATTGTTTTGGGGGCAGATGCTTGCTGCTTTTCCAACAAGGCAGCATGTATATAATTGAGAAATTTTTGAGGACCCAAATAAGAAAGAAAAATGTTTTAAGGGTGCAACTGAGATAAGGTGATGTTAAGCCTAATATCGGAATTCTAAAATAAAGGAGTTTCTATTGGTTGTTAGATATAGGGATTATATAGTGATATAGTTTATTTGTTGGATCAGGGACTCCAGTTACCACGATGGTTGTGTTTAATCGAGGTGTTGGTAAAGGACATTGTTTGCTTGCTTTGGACTTCAGGTAGAGGAAATACGGCAGACTTACAGAGATTGGCTTTATTAAATTTCGTGAAGTGTGATATTATCATTATCAATCTTATTGGTTGGTTAATGTGATCTGATGCTCATTGAATACATGTTTATCTTGGGTGTATACTTGTTATTGGTTATGGAAGTATTGGTAAAATGCTATTCACTGAGAATATGTTGTGGTACATGGGAATGATGAAATGAGATCATTTGTGCATCACTCATGTGTGAGAATAGTTAGAAGTTCGGTGTTGAGGAAGGAATTATGGAAATGAGGGTAGTTGGAAATATCTTTTGTGTAGTTGAGCCAAACTCTTAGTAGGTACCAAGTTTCAGGCGAGCCCACAGTGCACAGTTTCTTTTGGGTAATTCGGGATTGGCGACGAAGGGTTTTGGCAAGATGACTAACAAAAGGGAAAATTAGGATGATTGAGTTACAGGGGGTTAATTTGTATATTAAAACATTTGAACCACCATTGCAGAGAGGTAAAATGAACGGTATGGGACGTGCAGGTCCGCGTGTTTTATTATATGAATTAACAGATAGAGATGAAGAGTATTGCATTGCACTCATGCATTGTTATTGATAATGATTTGGTACTTGATTACATGATTTTAATAACACGTAATTTAATATTGTTAATTTACTGTGATAAGGTTATGTCCCTACTGAGCTGTTGAAGCTCACCCATCTCTTGTTATGCAGGTTTACAAACTAAACAGTCTAAGAGGATAGATGGGATGAGAACGAATTAGATGTGAGGCTAGTATTGTATTTATTTATTTTTAGCCTTGTAAAGAATTATGGATTTCTTTTTATAAGAGGAATTTTATTTTTCATTCCGTTATTTCAGTTTTATTTTATTTATTTAGTTTTTAGCTCACGTTTGGGATTCAGAGTTATTTTTCCACCAACCTCGGGTTCAGGGCATCACAAAATATTTCTCATGTTGTATAAGCCCATGACAATCACATGCCGAATCAATGCTGCTCTGAATTCCAAAGAATTTGGACCGTACATGAGTCATGATGCAAACAGCAACAGCAACATCATGGGTCTCTACATAATTATCGGTTTTCTTTTTGGAACCAGCTAGTGCAATGGGAATGTTCAACAAACCATGCATTGCATGTAACTAAAAGTTCGTTCGACTGTTTTATTCTGTACAACTCATTTCCCACATCTAGTTCAAATAAAACACAATACATTGACAAAAGATTTTGTAGATCAAAGCGTTAAAAAAAAAACTCCTCGTGCATAATCGAGATTCTAGTTTCGGTTTTCTTCCACCCGCTATCGCTTAAATATAAAAAGCACATAGACAACACATTAACAAATAGATATTGTTCAAGGCAAGGATTTCCCCTCGCACAGCTCCTCAGGGGCGTTGGCACTTGGTTGGTTGTCGGGCGAGCTCTTGCTACTGGGTGTGCTGTAAGATGGGTCAGTGGTTAGTTTGAAAGGTGCCTTTGTGAGGTCTTTAGGTGTAGGTCTTGAGGCTCGCAATCAAAACTAACAAGTATCTCGGCATGCCACTGTTATCTTAGTATAATAGATGTTCGATAGATGTAATTTAAGTCAATTACTTGCATCCCAAGTTACTTAAACTTCTCATTATCAAAGGATAGTCGCAGATGGGTTAAGTCTGCATTAAGTTCTTTTTCTTGCCATGTAAATAAGGACTTTTAGTCCATAATCTTATATGTCCGAAACGAAGGGAGTTTAGGTCCCTTTAAACCATTTTCTTGATCCAAGTTTACTTTAATGAGAACAAGTTCATTAACTTACCAAATCTGAGTATAAATGAATCTCTTAAGTAGAAAATAGTTAGAAATAACTTGAATACATACTGAAAAGTACATTACGCGATAGATCTACTAACTGAAAGTACAAGCAAAGAAACTCGGGCAAGATTCCACCTTGTCAGACAAGGTTGAACATCTTGCAGCCACTTTTCTTTGAGTTTACAAAGGTTGTGCGCTAAAAGGGATAGATGACAAATAGGTTTTACACGAGAGAATCGATACTAAACCACTAAGGGAAGTTAGCAGAGCTTTTACACTAGACAAAAGATAGCTTTTCTAAGGGAACTGTAGGCTGTAGCTAAAAGGATTGAATATGAATGAGTTACAACTTTCTGGGTGCAAGTATGGCTTTAGAACAAAGTTTGTATGTTGTTTGTTTGATTGGTTGAGTGTCATTGTCTCTTATACTTCTCTAGGCTTTTACAGTCAATTTGGCCCGACTGCTTTGGCTTCATTCTTGGCCAATGGCTCTCGGGGGGCAGTGAATCATCATCTATTTACTTGTAATGCCACTAGAAAGTGCTTTTTGGCTGATAATGGGTTAGTCTCTGTTATTTATCACTTCACTCATAGGCACATGGCCTAAGCCTTGGCTGAAAAAGGGTTTATTTTGCTTCAGGCTTCATTGCTGGGCTTTGGGCAAATTTGACTTGTTTTGGCGCCTTTAGGCTTCCCCTAATATTTAAGCCCAATGTTTAAATATTAACCCAAACAGATGTCATTAGTTTGATTTTGTAAGATGTTTTCTTGATGCAATATGACAAATATTTCTAAAAGGACTGAATATGAATGAGTTACAACTTTCTGGGTGCAAGTCTGGCTTTAGAGCAGAGTTTGTATGTTGTTTGTTTGATTGGTTGAGTGTCATTGTCTCTTGTACTTCTCTGGGCTTTTACAGGCAATTTGGCCCGACTGCTTTGGCTTTATTCTTGGCCAATGGCTCTCGGGGGGCAGTGAGTTATCATCTATTTACTTGTAATGCCATTAGAAAATGCTTTTTGGCTGATAATGGGTTAGTCTCTGTCATTTATCACTTCACTCATAGGCACATGGCCTAAGCCCTGGCTGTCACATCCCGGCCCAGGGTCCACCACATCCCGGGCCCGCTCCACCACTGTAGCACAATATTATTCGCTTTGGGCTTACCATTCCCTCACGGTTTTGTTTTTTGGAATTCACGAGCAACTTCCCAGTGGGTCACCCATCCTGGGAGTGCTCTGACCTCCTTCTCGCTTAACTTCGGAGTTCCGACGGAACCCGAAGCCAGTGAGCTCCCAAAAGGCCTCATGCTAGGTAAGGATGAGAATATACATTTAAAGATCACTCCCTGGGCGATGTGGGATGTCACAATCCACCCTCCTTAGGGGACTCGACGTCCTCGTCGGCACACCACGACCAGGGTTAAGCTCTGATACCAATTTGTCACATCCCAACCCAGGGTCCACCACATCCCGGGCCCGCTCCACCACCGTAGCATGATATTGTCCATTTTGGGCTTACCATTCCCTCACGGTTTTGTTTTTGGGAACTCACGAGCAACTTCCCAGTGGGTCACCCATCCTGGGAGTGCTCTGACCTCCTTCTCGCTTAACTTCGGAGTTCCGATGGAACCCGAAGCCAGTGAGCTCCCAAAAGGCCTTGTGCTAGGTAGGGATGAGAATATACATTTAAGGATCACTCCCTGGGTGATGTGGGATATCACATTGGCTGAAAAAGGGTTTATTTTGCTTTAGGCTTAATTGCTGGGCTTTGGGCAAATTTGACTTGTTTTGGCGTCCTTAGGCTTCCCCTAATATTTAAGCCCAATGTTTAAATATTAACCCAAACAGATGTCATTAGTTTGATTTTGTAAGATGTTTTCTTGATGCAATATGACAAATATTTCTAAAATATGGGTGATGATTTTCAGACTCACACTCACTTATTATTTATTTATTTTTTTTCTCTATCTGGATTAACCTTTGAATTATGTAAAGTAAATTCAAAGAAAAAAAAAAACTAGACTAAAGATAAGGAGAGTCCGAAAGTCACTAACTTAAAATATTACAAACTTAATTCTGAACTAGATGTCACATAGAGGGCATCTAGTTAGCTTTTCCCTAGCTACTCCTACCCTATATATGTAATTGGGCTTTTATTTAATTTGCAAGAGAGATTAGTGTTTCTAATAATTCAACACTAGTAAGGTTTAGGATTTAGGGGTGTTGCTAGAATTATTAAGGGAATTGGCAGTCTTTTGGGGACATGGTACCACGAGAAAATAATCGAGAAAGGATAAGAAGTTGAGTTAATTACATTTTAACGGAATATAATTATACAATTGGGGCTAATGAGCTTTCTTTCCTAGTCAAATTATTAAAGTTCGATGTGGTGTGAACTCAACAACTAATTCCCATTTGAAAAAAAAAATGGATACCTATGTATGTATAAACTTTGCTATATATTGAATTTGTTGCTGACAACAACAAAGTTAATGGATTATATATCCATGAGTGTTTTATTCTAGCAGGACTCAAAGTAAGATTAAATGGGTTTGGGCTTTTTATAATCCATGTCTACTATGTCCATTTTTTAATGGGGTGGGTACAGACATATCCATGGATACCCTCTTTTTCTTGGGGCTAAGAAAGCCTCAGATGCTTTGATAGTAATTAGGGTTTTCTAGTATAGTCCGTTTATAGGTAGGACTTTATTAGATTGGAGCCTATCATCACAAACCCTATACTCCCTATATAGCTCTTGTGATTAAGGTGCAATAGTGAGGAGAAGATTTCTGAGTTCTTTACGTGCAGATCATCATCTCATTCATCATGTAGAGCTTGTGTCTTAATGGTATGAGACGATAAGGGCTAACAATTACCTCAACTTTCTTCATATCCCACTCTATTCTCCACTTGTTGGCATGTTATGTTTGATCTACAACTTGGTGACAATGGTTATGACACAACATTTAAAATTTACTTAGTGAAGCGCAAGCATACAAGTAAATCAATTGATGGATATAATTGAGTTGCACATCTTTAGCCAGATTCCATACAATTGTAAGATTATTAGGGTTAAGGGTTTTGAACCGTAGACACGGCCTACTTTGTTTAATTATTACAATTGGGGTGGAAAAGAAAATTAAAACTTGAACTTAATTATGATTGATGTAAAATTGTGATTAAGGGAATGTTTTTTTTTGCTACATACATATTATATGCAAAAATTTTAAGTTTAACTTATGTATTTGTATACTTAAAATTTACTTTGCATAAACTCAACAAGCTTTGCATTTGCAAATTGCAAAAATTACATCATCAAATTTATATATATTTAGATACAAACACAAGAAGAAGATAAAAAACTTGACATCTCAATTACAATCACACAACTAGCACAAATCAAAACAATGAAAGTAGATGTAAAAGCAATCTTAAAAAAATTGATTGAAACTAATATAAAGCCTACTGAATCAAAGCAGAATAATCTTGAACAAAACAACATCACAATTTTCATGATAAGTTTTATATTTCTAGTTGTGCTAAATACTTGCCGGGCTAGTTTCATTAAAAAATAATTCTTCTTGCAGTTTTTTTTGTCTATTATATTAGACTATGCACTAAAATATACATATGCCACAAACTCTCCTTGGGCTACAGCCCATCATAATCTTTGGTGTGGCTACACCATTGTGTCCACTAAGATAATTTTTTCATTAAAATATATGTGATCTATATATGCTTAATGGAGAAATTTTTCAATGTGTTGGGACATGGTGGATGATTTTTTTTCTTTCTTTTCAAGTATCCAACTAGGAAATGCTATGGTATCCAACACTTTAATTTTACGGAAAAAAAAGGGGGCAAATAAAATGCCTTTAAATTATATATTTTGTATCCTTTAACAGATTAACTACTAGTCTCATTTGATAATTAAAATTTTGTAGACTCTTTCTTCGAGCTTGACCAATTAAATTAATATTAAATTAATTAACTTATATTATGACACTAGCTATGTGTGTCAAGTCGTGCTCCTGACACACTAAAAAATCTCTCTAGCTGATGCCCTAATCCCTCGTTTTGAAAAATATTATACGTTTTCTGGTGATCAGAATTCAGCACCAAGGGCCAAGCTGCTATCTTATTATTTTGTGTCAAGTCATGCTTTACTTTCTCATGATGGTATCTTATTCAATATATATTCTTACAATCGAGTTGTATATGAAAAGATAGGCTGCTGGAAACAAGTATTGGGAAAAGAAAGAGAATGGTATTGATCCTTTTCCTTTCCCAGAAAATTAATACAATTTTCTGTTCACATTGACAAATATTCATTCTTGAAGAAGCAAAGAACATATATACAAGTACAACTGAACCTTCCAAATTGCCAACTTTATTAATAACCCACTTTACCTATATAACTAGCGACTAAGATCACACTTGATCCATTATTACTACTAATCAATCTTTAATAATTTAAGAACCACAAGTAATGCTATGAAAACCAATTTTTTAGACCACACTTGCAAATCATATGATGTGTCACCAATATGAAATAAGTACGTTAATACTTTAGTAATAATTAAACCATCACTCACTATGTCTCATGGCTTACAAAATATGGTTTATCAATGGTCTCCCTAGCTGGCATTACCCTTAAGACCCACATACTTTACTCATCCGAGAATTAATTATTCAGTTTTATATAGTCTCATAATTTTGTAGAGGCTAGCAAGAGAAGAAGCTAACATGAGAGGTAGGGAATTAAGGACATAATTTGTCATGACTGGTACCATTGTTTGTAGGTTATTTAATCATAAACTTGAGCTTAACGATAGTTAATGAATGTCTGTTTATAGTTCATATACCACATGAGGAAATTGTTTAATATACAAGAAAATACTCATTAATTACTAAATTGCAATAGTTTATAATAAACAAGCTTCTGAAGTTGTTTTAATTAAAGCTTTTATTCCAGAAGGTCACATTCTGTTTCTGCACTAAATCTTAATGGGAATAAGAGAGGAAAAAACATGATTCTAACAAACCCAATAATACCTGAGGTATATGAAATTGGTCATATTTAGTGTATATATATGGTGCCTTTATATACAAAGAAATCAAAGAATTTTAGTGTTGACTTTTGTAAGTGAGTAGGCCTAGTATTAAAGGTCACTAAGAATTTAGAATTTTGTTAAAATTTTCATTAGGCAGTTGCTAATGGAATATCAGCGTACATCTTAATTAGTCATTATACTAATACCACTATCGACCTCGCTTTACTACTGTCAGCTCAAGCTATATGGAGGGTTTCGAACCCTACACTTAACCTAATCGTATCCATCACCTACCTGCCCCTCAGACTTAACCTAACGAGTGCAAGTGTTTAGCATTCATATTAAGTTATTAACAATGGCGGAGCTAGTTTCCGTTGTTTGGGGTCCGCAGCAACTTCATACGAACTGTGGCTCTGCCCTGCGTATATGAATGGAGACCACTGTACGGTTATACCAGATGAATTTGAAAGAATCCTTGTATGATTAGAATCATGGTTCATGGGTTACCTAAAATATCGTCATTGATTCTGCAGGCATAAATTCATAGTTCGTCTCCAAAAATCTATCAGACTCAATTATGATGGTGGCCACAAACGATGGCCAGAAATGTTTGTAGGTGGTACATATTCATATAGGCTTGCTGCATGAGTGGTTTTTATCAATGAAAATTTGACAATTCAATGTACTTTGGTATATTTTATGAGTTGACCCAGTAACATTCCCTCGTCGAGCCATCCAATCGCATATAGAATCACATAAATTTAATCATTAGGTCAAGCAGGGACTCATCAGTGACCTTAAAGGCAGGTTGCTGGCAACAATTTATGCAGAGTGATATTTTCTTTAAAAAAGAAAAAGAAAAAGCACAGTGACCTTAACCCCTACACACCTTTGCTGTTTATAGACAAATTTTGTGTTCCTCAATATAGGTTTATTGCTGGCATTTATTTCTTGTGGTGGCCGTGTAGTGTTTAATTCTCTTTGTTGGTTGTGTGAACTTATCTTCAAATAGAAGAATTAGTCGCTAAAGTAAATGTACCGACTCATAGAATACAACTAATTCTAGTCTACCCATTTCATTTAAGACGTGAAATTTTTATCCTTTTTGAAATTGAGGTTGCACAAAATAGGGCCCTAAAAGGATATACTTTTATATTGATCTTAAAATAAAAGTATTCTATACACAGTAACTATGTTCAATTTATTTTATATTGTACAAATTCCATTTATGTTTGTACTCCCAGGAAACATACAATACTCTACTCTATTTCATATTTCACAAATCGGGAGGAGTAATTGAAAAAGCCAGACTCAGTACAATACGATAGCCCATGGAATCCTGAATCTGATGCTAATAATATAATAATTGTACTAATCCACATATGTCTCTCTCCCATCAATCGAATCGGTACGGTACTAGTCCAAGAAATGGAAATTCCCCCCATTTGGTTGATGATAAATGTGAAACGAAAAAAGAAAAAAAGAAGAAGGATCGTTGTTGGGAATGAAATTATGTTATTTGGACTTCTTTTCACAAAAAAATAGTGGTAAAATGAAATGGTTGAATAATTAAAAAATGAGATTATTCAGGAATAACCATTGAATGCTAAGATTATGCATTGAATTTATGGTAGTAGATCCATAATCAAAAGAATTTTTGTACATTCTCTTCGAGATCAAACATAGTAATTGAAGTTTCATTCACATATTATTTTATTTTTTAGTTATTGGGTGGGCTAAATAAAAATAATAAACTAAAAAATTAGAGGATTCATTGAGATTCTCAAATTTTGAAGATACTTTTTTGAATGAGCCAAGCCACTAGGATGAAACTAAAAGAGTTCCGCATTATTAACTATGTACCGCGCATATCACTTAGATGGGCTATAGAAAGTAACATATAGGAGGAAATGAAGAAAATAGAATATGAAAAAAATTTAGAAGGAAATGAAACTCCTGCAACAGTTCTCTGTTCACCAATAAAATTTCGCAATAATTTCCGTTCAGATATGTTGCTTGTGATGGTGATCTTCACTTGAAAATTCTTACTGGTTTTAGTAGATTGAGCTGCCGAAAGCACATACGTATGGCACTAAGATGCTTACATTTTGATAGAAAGTAAACGTGGAAATTATAATCCAAGAAAAGAGAGAAATTAAGAAGTGGGAATATGTAAATGTGCTTTTGTGCACTTAAGACATGCAGCAAACATAACTAAGCGTTTGATTTTATTTTATTTTTAAAAAGGGGGACAACTGGTGGTAAGCCACGGTTATCCACCTCTCCCAGGGGCTGGGAAGATTCACAGAAACATTTCAGCCTCCCCTTGGCCACAAGTCTAGCTTCCACACCAGCAGCGTTTGATTAACGAAGGAAAGAATCTTGGAGGAGAGAGAGAGAGTACTTTTGGGTGACATGTTTGGTTTTAGGTACGTTAAAAGAAAACAAAAAAGAAAGAAGGAAAGAGATTCTCCAAAATGATGGGGCATTTGAATTGGGAGCCTAGATGGCATTTTTGGCCTTCTGCCTCCAAATTAGGGCAACACAGTGGCCATTGCAAACTGTGACAAGGCAATCGGGTTTTTAACTTCAAATAGTCTACTTTGATTCTCACTTAGCATCCCACACATTTCTCCAACCAAAAGTTTGGAGAAACCGTAACACTACTAGAATTATGGCTATAGGACATCAATGTTTGCACACTATTTGCAATTGGTGACTATAGATAGAAAGATAACACTCTTAAGGTGAAGAATCATCAATTTCCACTTCTAATAAAATAGGTAATTCTATATAAAAATAAATAAATACAGAATATATTTTGGTATCTATCTCTCCACCTTTGTTTAGATTAAGGTTTTTCTTTTTCTTAGTGAAAAGATCGAGTTCATTTTGTAAGTAATCACTCAGCTGCCTCGAGTTAATCCATGATTATATAGGAGAGGAGTACCGAAAATTTGAGATTATCATACAATCATACACTCACCTTTTAAGTTGGGATTGATTAACTACATAAAACTTATAATTTAAGTGAATATAAAATTGTAAATGTTAGAATTATGAGTTAAAGATTGATAACACGACGTATACTTGATGGTCAAGTTTGTTAACATGATGGCGTATTTTTGTTCTCAATATAGTTGGGTTATTGTGCACTCTTTATATGTATCAATTTTTTCTTTGTAAATATAAAAATGAGAGTTTTAACAAAACACTCCCGGTACTGTTCACTTTAACGAAAAATGACATTTTTACTCTAAAAAGTCACTTCTGGTACTATTCACTTATAACATCTTTTTGTCCTTTTGATTAAAACTCAAAGTTTTCAAGCTCTTTTTATTAGTTTTTCTTATAAAAATTTGGAGTTCACAATGATATATTTGGAGTGGGAATATATTCAAGTGAAACTTTAAAGGTCGGAGTTTTTTTTAAGTGAAACTTTAAAGGTCAAAGTTTTTAAGCTTTTCTTCTTGTTTGGTTGTTTATGAGAACCGCTCTTGATTATATAATGAAAGTTATATTTGTAACTCTTTTTACTTATTGTTTAATAACTGGTAAATTTATAATCAGTGAGTTCTAAAACTTGTTTTGCTTTGAGTTATTACTTTCTAGCATCAATATATACGTTGTCTCACTGGAAAAAAAAATGGGTTTTTTATTTATTTATAAATTTCGCACATAGGCCACAAAATATGAAAGACGATCCTATCTTATTGTAATTTTTGAAAAAAAGTTGCAGTATCAATTAATTTTCAGTTAACAGAATAAACCGTCCCCATATTTTTCATCAAGACCGTCAAGTTAATTGACTTCAAATGAAAAGGCATCACGGCATAATCTGCATAGAGGTATTTTCCCCAAAACTATGTATTGATATTCCAATACAAGTGAAGATGTCCCATTTTGGGGAGGAGAATTGAGATCAAATTGGAGCAGC